ACTACTACTACTACTACCTACCAACGAACGAACGAACGACGTACGTACGTAGTACGTAGTAGTAGTAGTAGTACTTACTATATATATACTACTACTACTACTTCTCTCTCTCTCTCTCTCTCTCTCTCTCTCTCTCTCTCTCTCTCTCTCTCTCTCTCACAAATGCTTGCACACATGCATTGTAACACCCTGACTAATGCCATTAAAAACTAGTCCAAACACACCAAGACCTGAAGGACTGAGGATGATGGTCCAACCAATTCCTCAGCGAACACTGAACTTGGTCTCTAGTGTCCTCCAAAGCCTTCCCTTCCTTCTAGAAAACCTTTCCAATTCCAAAATCCTCCCTCTTCTTTCAAAATCCTCCCTCTTCTTTCAAAATCCCCCTTCCCTCTGTATTCAATAGAAGACACCTAAGAGTACATACGGGCTATCCAATAGTTCGATTGCTTCGTGGTCGTCTAAGGCGTATTCTAAGATAAAGCATGTCTACTAGTGGGAAACTAGTGGCAAATTAGGACACCGTGATCACCAAGAGTGTTTGACTATTTAACAGATCAGACAGGCTTGGCAATAACTGGTTATAACAGGTTGGTCCAGTTCAATTTTAGTAAACTTGATATTGACACCTCTCTTGTCCTGTGGGGTTATTTGAAAGTGGCAAAAATAGATGGACACCTCTCTCTATCATGTAGAAGAAAGAAACCTGCTTGAAGGCTATGGATGCAATAGCCCCTGCTGTGTAATCCCCTACTCCCTGAACTTTTCTAAGATCAGGAACTGTTCGCGGGAATTGTCCTCCTTGGACCACTGACTTTGCTCCCTAACGCAGAAGAGAAAAGAAGAATGAAACACATAAACTCAGCAAAGTACATATTGTTAGGGCTGCCAATCAAGCCGAGCAAGCCTTTGGGCTGGGACTGTATAAGTAAGACACACCTCTAAATTTTGCTGGAATATGTAGTTCTAGTGTCGGAAACTTAAAATGGCTTGAAGATCCATGTTCAACACTGGTTATGAAATTTAAAATTCCAAAAAACATTGCAAATCGAGCAAATCTGTCAACACTTGAAAATCTTGAAAATAGATGGTCTAGATAACTTGTTACAAGGTGCACTACTTTTAGGATTTAAAATACTTTTTTCTTCATATTTATACATCTTGAGGTCAAGATGATCGATTGGAAAATATTCAAATATTCCAACTTCAGAACATTCTTTTCTATTGGATTTTTGTGTGTACCTTACTTCTATAATGCAAGGTTGTAATATTATATGAACTTTAGGCCCATTTCTAAGCAATTTTTATAGGGTTGCAACATTACTTGTAGAAATAAGATTGTAATGTTTTACAACATCCAAATCAAATGGACGGTCCTTTTAAACTTCTACAAGAAGTGAGCTGGGACTCGCCCGAGTCCATTTGGACTCCGTCGAGTTGTGTGTACAACTCAGGGCTATAACAAAATTTCACAAAAACTTTTAAAAATATTGGATTGTTCTATAATCTTTTTGTATATGATTTAGATGTTTTTGGCAAATATTGGTGAGTGTTTTTGCCACAATCCCTATTTTTATATTTTCTTCTTTTTTTTTGAAATTTTTTTAAATATCCCCAACTATAAATCAATTTTTTCTCAATTTTATTTTGACACCTTAAGGTTGCTTTTAGTTTTACGTTGTTTTAACGACATTTCTTTCATTTTCTGATTTTTTTTTTTCTTTTAAATTCTTGAGAGCTTTTAAGCCCTTGTGTAGGACTCAACTGAGTCTCCAGTAACCCGTGTCGGCCAAAGGGTGAATTCCTTGGGGGTGAGTCCAGACACATTGTCTGCAATTAAGGTCACAATCTTGTGTAAACTTTTCCTTCCAAAGATAAAAGATGTTCAACAAACATCAAATAAAACCATTATGAAAGAAACAACGGCATAATATGCATTAGTTGTACCTCTAGTAGATATCGGGCGCGCCTGTAATAGCCCAAGCCCGCCCACATCTCATTAACCTCCTGTACAGACAAGAATCAGAAGATACAAATAGTTTTGCATTTGTGTCAATTGATCACATTCTTCTATTTGTACTGGACATAGATATTTGATACCTCATGTAATGAAAGAAGAGTGAGATTCTTCAGCAATTGAGAAGTTAAAATGCCTAAGGCATCTCATTAGAGAGAGAGAGAGAGAGAGAGAGAGAGAGAGAGAGAGAGAGAGAGAGAGAGAGAGTAGTACGTACGTACGTAGTACGTAGTACGTACGTACGTAGTAGTAGTAGTACGTGTCGTCGTACGTACGTCCTACCGTACCTACCGTACCGTACCTAACGTAACGTACGTACTACGTAC